TGTCATGCCCTAACCTATCTACCATGAAAATATGAGCGAAATCGAATTTTCGACCCTTGCCGAGTTATTTTCCATTTTTATGGACAGGGACTCTTAATGGTTTAATGTAATTTTCAGAGATGAATATCAAGGAGTAAAACATAAATATTTATTCAATGTTAAATTCAACTGAGAAAACAGACTTTCATTCATTCCTCTCATCGGCTTATTCTGTGCCAATGTATTGGTTGTTGTGAAATTGAATGTCTCGAACTGTCATATTAGGGGTGCTCATTGGAATAGGGGTGCTAATTAAAAAAAATGGCTCCTGGTGGGGAGGGCTAATTAGAGAGAGGGGTCTTTTTGGAAGGAGGGTGTTAAGGAGGGTATTTCATTTGTAGCTCAGGTCACAAGAAAAGAAAGTATTCAGTCTGACACAGCTCACTCTACATGAAACCATTGTTTACAAGTTATACTTAAAAGCCTTAAAAGCCATTTCTTATAGGTTCTAAGGCTGTTGTAACTTGTGTGTCTCAATTCCTTATGATCTGAGGGTGCCAGATGTGAAATATCTTCACAATAATTGGAAAAAAAAATTAATTAATTTTTTTTCAGTCTGACTTTTCAGACTTGAACAGAATTTGAACCCTTGACCTTTGGGATACTAGTGCAGAGTTCGACCAACTGAGTTGTCAAGCCAACTGGGAGCTGATCATTTGTGAGTTGGTAATATACCAATAGATGGTAAATATATTGACCTGCACATCTTTACTGTCTGCAGGTATCTTACAAACTTACAACATGATTGACTCCCAGTTTACTTGAGAACTTGCTTGTCATAGCACTGTGCCAGTATTGCAGAGGTCATAGGTTTTAATCCGGTTCAAGCTTGATGTTTTTTCAGGGTATATTTTCACAACTGCTTACAGTGCGACTACTGTAACCAAGGCTGCCTGATAAAATTTTCTACAAATTTAAAGAATAAAATTGTGGAGGTTAACAATAGTTTTCCAACAAATTATTGATGTAATCAAGGTGTACATTACAAAAACAACCGATCTGTGGTCATTTTGATTAGAAACTATTTTTTGAAATGCCACTGGTCAATTGCAAAGAATTTGCTTAAGTGGTCTTGGTCAGATTAGTTGCATTGTAAGTTGTGTACATAACTGTGCCATGTTGAAATATGTTAGGTCTCAGAGATTCATTTGTGGGTATTGATAAAACTTAAAAATACTCCATAAGAAGAATCTTTGACTTAATCTGCCAGGTGTTTAATGAGCATATTGTTCTTTCTACAGGTATTGGACCAAAAAGAGCAATAGATCTTATCAAAGAGTACAAGACCATTGAAGAAATTGTCAAACATATTGATACAAAGGTAATTCATTACACCGGTCTCTACAGGGTAGATGCATTGCTCATGAAAGCTAGTCTTTTTGCATATTTTGCTAGCTATCTGAAGGAATGCACTGGCTAGGTTTTCTCCAAAACATAAAAATATATGTACATAATACATGTAGGCTCTTTCAACCTCCCTCTAAATGAGTGGTTGTGATTTAAAGGAGAATGTCACTCCAAAAAGCTTACTTTTTTGTCTCCACCTATCGCAAGTAAACATTGGGTTTTTCCACTCACCGAAGTTTCAGTCTCTTAAGTGCTATCTTGAAGAAATTTTTTTCGAAAGAAGCCCAAAATTTGACTTTGGAGGCTGCCATTTTGAAACTGTTCTATGCAACCAGGCCATGTTTATGTGACCTCATTCCATCCAACTTGAAATCGGCAGGATACCAAAAAACCTGCAACTGACTTGGTATCCTTCACAAGGTCAGCAAAATGTATTTTTTGAGCCTATTATCCACTGGCTATCTTCACTGCTATCATTTTTGCGGTTTGGAGCACATTTGGCTCAAAATAATACTGCTCAAGAGTAGCATATCCTAGAGTGGTAGTTGAAGAGCTTGTCAGAAACTCTGGACAAAATCCCTTGGACCGAATGACGTCATGAAAATGCGGCCTGGCTGCTGAGCACTGTTCAAAATGGCTGCAATGATGTCAAATTTTGGGCTCCTTTGGAGACGAATTTCATGAGGAAAACCTGGACTTTAGAGGTTGAAACTTTGGTGAGTGGCTATACTTAGTGCAAGATTTTATTAGTCTTGACAAAAAAGATATGTTTTTTCGAGTGACCTCCTTTTTCTAGGGCTTTTTATTCTTGGAACAATGTGAAAGGAAAAAATATTTTCAGTGAAAAGAGACGTAAAAGCTTCAGAGTAGCCTCCATGGCAAGCATCCCTGCATTCTGTGCTACACAAAAATTAAGACAAGTCAGAGCGTTCTCTTGCTTGTCTCAGCTTTCATGCAGCTAAAATTGGAAACTGGTTTGTATGGGATACTTGCTATGCAGCAAGTTTCAGAAATGTGTTCTGTCAGATGCATATAAGTAATTGCTAAATTATGTTTTTCAGAAATATATTCTGCCTGAAGAATGGCCATATCAGGTAATTGTTTTGGTGTTACTAGTAACTTTGTTTTTAAGGGCAAACTCAAGGAAACATCCAGAGGAAATTTTATTGTTGAGCTGCTACAGGTTTTGTCAATGTAGTGATCTTGATAAACTTGACCATCAAGTGTACAGTGTTTTGTCAATGGAAATAAGATCTTGTAAAGCAATCAATTTATGGTGTAAATTGGCTACTTCTCATCTATACAGGAAGCCAGAGAATTGTTTAAAAACCCAGAAGTTAAAAAGGATGAAGATGTGGAGGTGGGTTGCTTAAGATTTCTTTTCATAATATGGTATACAAAGGAAAACAATTTTGGTTGTTTTATTGCACCAAAAGACTTTTCAGTGTTAATGTTGACATGAACAAGCTACTGTGTCGTTGAATTTTCAAAGGAACTGTATTATTCATTGGGTGACTCCAGAAAATCTCCATACCTATACCTCAGACAGCTTTTTGGAATTCCCAGGGCAACAGGGGTTTACAATTGAAATTCCGAAGGCATCGGGGTGGGGGGGGTTAAAATATGAAAACTGTCTGTGCTTGGATATGGCTATTTTCTGGAATCACCCAGTCTCCTTAATATGTATTTCTTGTTATCAGTGCTAACATGTTTTTAATATATTGTTTTTGTTTTTATTAGTACTTCTAAAGCAGAAGAACATTGTAACATAAACATACAATGTAGCTTCATTTGCAGTCTCTAACTTGCATTTTGTTTACTCTTCCTCATTTTAGCTCAAGTGGGAGGCTCCAAGTGAAGAGGAACTTATTAAATTTCTAGTTGAAGAAAAAGGATTCAGGTGAGTTAAAATGTCTGAGCATTGCACAAACAACATCCTTTTAGCAAGAAAATATCCATGGATATTTGCCTAAGGACATGATCTCTTTCATGAAATGCAGTGTTAAACTGACTCTCGAACAACAGATAATATCCAAAGGTAAAATATTCATACTTATTATATGGCAAGATAGTCTTGAAGCAAATCCAAGCATTCTGATAAGATTGGTTCTTTCTTGGTTGGGATTTTGCCTTACGGACTGTTTCCATGGAAACGGTTATGAGTAATGTGTTTTTTACTTTTGAAAGCCAGAAAAATTCAACTCCTAAGTGCCATATAATAAACTACGTAGTAACCTAGCTAGCTCAAGCTGTACTGGATAATATTGGCCTAAGGAAGTGGCAAAAACCACCAAAGGCCAATATTCCACAGTACTTCCCTTGCACTTGGTTAGTAGGAGGTTAATATCTTTCAGTGTAAGTTGATAGTTTTTATTTTCCTCCAAATATTTTCACAAGTGTCGAAGTTCAGGACTTGTGGTGTGCATGGGAGATAAGTTTTATCAGGGTATTTAGATCACCTTCAACAATACACAATGCTACTCAATCAATGACCACATTTTTTGCTGCTGTCAACCATCCCCTCCAGGAAACAGAATTTCGCTTCAGCAGATTCAAAAGGTCATGCTTGTATATAGGTAGTGGTTGGTACATTTCTAGCCATTTTGCTTGTTTCTTGTTTTCAAGGCTTGTGGTTTGTTGCCATAATAATGATTCACAGCAGTAAAAAATATACTGGTTTGTTAGGTTTCATCTTTTGAGCTCATGTGTTATTGAGAGGCACAGTATTTTACATGTAGCTATCTATAAAGGTTTTTTTGCAAGAGTAATATTTAAATGCATCTTTATCTTCAGTGAAGACAGGATACGCTCAGGAATAAAAAAGCTCAGCAAAGCTCGCCAGGGGTCCACTCAAGGAAGGCTTGATTCCTTTTTCAAAGTTCTTCCCTCTCCAAGTCCTTCAAGTAAAAGAAAGGTGAGCAAGTTGATTGTATCATGTGTACTAAAGGCATCCATGGCCAGTCGAGTGTCGATCGATACTCTGATCGATACTCTCGATTGACATCGCGATCAAAACCTCAATCAACATCCAGATGGATACTCAGTTAACAGTCTATCAATACTTGATCAACAGTCGGTCAATAGTCAGCTGAGTGTGGACTGACTCATATGAATCGATCAAAAATTAGTCCACTCTTGACCGACTGTCGACCAAAATGTTAGTGGAGTGTCAACTGAGGTGTCAATGGAGTGTTGATTGAGTATCGATTGAGGGTATTGATTGACATTCGACCACAGATGCCTTTAGTACACATGACCCAGTTAATATTATTATGTAAATAGTAAAAGGTAAATGCTTAAATGTAACTGGTACATTTTTGGGAGGTTCTAAGTAGCATAGTGGAATACTTACTTGCTAGTATACTGTGAAATAAGTTAATTGTGTGTTTGAATACTGTCAGTGTAGTTTAGGAAATTTAATTTAAAACAAACAACAAGAAAGGTGAATAAAGCTAAGCAATTTCAGTAGGAAACACCACTACAGCAGAAATGGCAAATCAGCATGAATAACCATTTTTGTTGTATTGTCCTTTTGTTGCAAAGCAGTGAACAGGCATCTTTATTAAAAGTTGGCCCTGGGAGTTGACTAAGCCCAGAAGGTTTGATAAAAATTTTTGGAAAGCAACATGGAATTTCATGGGAAAAAAATGACAAAAAAATTCCAAATGCTCATGCCATGTGCCATGTTAAACGTTAAGCTAAAAAACTCTGCAAAAGTTCTCTATTTTCTTTTGGAACGTATCCCAAAGAAACTACATGTGCTGATTGGTTTAAAATCATGTTTTTATAACTTGATGGGAACACAGAACTAGCACAAGCTGTTGACAATGATGGTGTGAGCAAAGAGAATTTACATTTTGATGATCAGATTAAACAAGTTGGTTTCTTATTTTTTGACGTGGAATTAACTAAAAGAAATAGAAGACATGTTTTCCATGTTTCTATCAAGTTTTAGTATAAATCTACTAATGTTCTATCATGAATGCCGTTCTCTGATTGGCTACACTACTCACTTTTTATTCTGTGATAGTTAGTGAGTAGCATAGCAGTGTGCCCTTGTTAACAAAATGATGGCCGCTTCTTAGAGTTTTCAAAGTGTCTGGGAAGAGGATTTAGATAAAGTTTTGAACGACTAGTAGATTTACACTAACACTATTAGATTATTTGCTCTCAAGAAATCTCTAGCTCATAACCTAATTGTTTAATAGAAACACTCATGGAAGTTTGGGAGAACTCAAAAAAGCTGTGGAAACATTTGCCTGTTGGCTTGTGTTCCCACAGCATTTCTCGTTCTACCAAACTTCCACTTGTGTTTCTATAAAACTTGATAGAAACACAGTTCATGTTTTTTATTTCTTAAATGCGTAAGGAGTAGAAATGAAATGTTCCAGGTTTGACTGATGTAATCAAGATTAGTGGGTAGACTGAAATTAATTTTTCTTTTAGCACTGTGCAGGGAAATAGCTTGTATTGCAATTTGCCTGATTTCTTTTTTCTAGAGCGAGGATACAAAAGGATCAAAATCCAAGAAAGCCAAGCCTACTACAGGAGGGAAGTTCAAGAAACCTAAATAAAGAGGACTCCAGAGCATTTGTCATCAACAAGAGCTGGTTGTTCAAGATTGCTTTGACTTCTGTGCCTTAATGTTGAGAACAAATTCTTCACTGGATAATTTGAACAGCAATCTGAACATGCAAACAAGGCTGTAATAGTCTAAGTTCCTGATTCCCACAAAAGATACAATATGGCTTGCATTATATGGAAAAGATATGTTCATATGTTTCAGGTTTATAGTAAAAATGGTCTCTCATGGTTCACTGCGGTTCACTTAATTTTGAATTGAAAACCTCAAAATGTTTAGTCTCCAGAGATAACTATTGGAGTCTGCAAAAGGGTGTCCCTTTCTTGGTTGTATAGCAACCCAAGGGGCATGTTTTAAACACAAAGGTTGTGTTTTCACTAGGCCGATAAACTAGCTGAACATTCTTTCTAGGTGTTTGTTTACAGACCAACATTTGCTAGTTGAATGTGACATCTGTTTTCACTGGAAATTTAACCCAGAATTTAACCCGCTGACTCAGAAGATTCAAATTACAAAAGCGCGCAACTTTCAAAAATGTATGAAAGAGGAAACGCCTTTAATGACTTCTCTTGTATTAATTCTAACTATATTTATGCGTAGGAGATCGAGAAGGCATTTTTTTCTAGAGGACGTGGTTTATGTCTCCAGAAAAGAGGAAGATGCGATGAAATGTTGTAATGCAGGAACTTGTTTTGCACGTCGGGTGACGCCGTTTCATAGGTAAGGTCCTGGCCGTGGAACTGGAGAATATAATGGGACCTTAAGGATGGTAAACTGAGATAAATGAGAAGGACTGTTGAACTCGTCTGCTGCTTAAAGTTCTGTTTCGCAAACTGAACCGTGATACAAGCGTCTGGTAAATACTATTACCAGATTCTTTGGCAGGCGTCTGTCACTACACATAATGTGATTGGCTGCAGCATTTACTGGGACAAGTTATACCATCTAGCAAGGTAGTATAACTTGGTGTGAATTTCCAGTCATATAGGCGAGATAATTGCTTATTTTTTCTGGTGAAAACAGAGTGCATTTTTAACTTGCTAAACTCAAGACGAACTGTTTTCACTACATTTCCAGACTTTTCCGACTTTATCTAGCCAAAATTGTCCTAATGAAAACACAAACAAAATGGCAAAATGTCAAAATGGTACTATGCGTAAAGGTCAATGTGAGATACTGGTGTCTGTAAGGATACAGACAGGATTTGTGGGATACAGGTGTCCTAACCCTAACCTTTACAATTATTGAGAGCTAACTACTGTGAAAATCAATGATATTCAGGCTTACCTGAGTGCACTTTAGGCTAACTAGAGGGCCATTTCGGCTAACCGTAATAATATTTTGTCATTTTGCCATTTCATGTTTTAAACATACCCAAGCTGAAGACCAGTTTGTGTAATGTATTGCATGACGTCACATGATGGATGTATGTTGAGTTTGCATATTATGGGTTAATTAAAATTGAGTTGAGCATGTGGCCGTCATCCACGTTTTGTTTGTTGTGGTGTTCCTCCCGTTTCTGGCCTTAATACACTTCATTTGGTGACAACGAGCAAAAATGGCGACTGTTTGGTAGAGTAGATGCATTTGACGAGAACACTGAAACATGGGAACACTACACAGAGCGATTAGGACATTATTTTGATCCAAATGGTATTGGTGATGAGTCCAGAGATGACAAAAGAAAACGTGGACGACGGCCGTGTGCTCAACTCAACTTTAATTAACCCATAATAAGCAAACTTGACATACATCTGTCACTTGACGTCATGCGATACATTACAGTTTGTTAGGTGTATATAGTTAAATTAAATCTTGTATGTGTATATGCACAGGACTGGCCATGGGTCTGTTATAGTATAGTAAGTGTTTGAATATGTGAAATTTAGTGACTATTCTATTTAATGAAATTACTTTCAAACTTGGTAAGGTTATGTATTTTCATTAATGCTTGATTTGTGCCTTTTCCTGCATTGAGGTGAATTGCAAGAATAAAAAATAATAGGCATCAAATATCACACAAAGCCTTATGATATTGTTCTCAACGGTCAACCTGTAGCTAGTGTTACTAGCACCGACTACCTACCAGCTCCTCAAAATGCGAGAGTTTGGGCTGCCTGAGTTCTGCTAAGTGTCTGGAGAGCCCAAATAATGAATCATAAACAGCAAATAACAGCAAATGTTCATCAGTGGTTAACTCTGAGTTATTGAAGGGTATAACAATTAAATACAATTATTGTTATCCAGAGCAAACTGCTGCTGAATTAACGCATTTTAGGATAACCAAAGTGCGAGTCAGGTTAACCATGACTATTTGTCACCACTTACTGTTTTTTATTGGCTAATCAGGTTTTTCAGACACCTTTCTTTGGCTGTTTTCTGAAAGAAGATGGCTGAATTTCATTTATCTGCATAAACTTGAAAAGGGACCCTTTTAACACCAGTCTGGCCTTCCTTCAGTGTCAAAACACTTGTAATACAGTAAAAAACTGTGAGTAAGAATCTAGTGGTTTAAGAACCTGCTGGCAGAAATTCGCCATTTTAATACCCAAAAATATTAGAACCTGTTTAGCCAAGCAAGCTTTCAGATTGCAAATTTATATTACAAGAAAATACATAACACAGTTGTGAAAAAATTCAAGGACCAAACCCGGGTTTATTTATTTTTCGTGTAATCAACAACCATATCTCCTTTATTCAAATTAAGAACCTAATTAGGAACCTACTTAACCTAAATTGCCAATAACTACCCCAAAATACAAGAACCCATTTTGCCAGACTTACTGTAATGTACCGAGAGATTCCCTTCTCTTGCTGCTGTCTGAGCAGAAAGACAGGGTGATCTCTGTCTTGCAGGGTACTAAAAATATTCTTTAGTGACATTAAAATACTTCCTTAAGGTTACAGTATACCTTCAGGGGTGTCTCGCGTGCAAGCGAT